ACTACTTTTGTATATATCTGAGGTACATAAATATAGAAGTATAAATTTCACCACACTTTTAATTTTATTTAAAAAAATGCGTCGATAGATTTAGTTAATGCCAAAATCAAATGATGTTATCTTTATATTTTAAGAAAAAAGATGTTATTAGAGATGTAAAAAAAAGGTTTTTTTTCAGATGTGAAAAAAAACATGAAAAAAAACCTAGAAAAAAAACCGTTTTTTTTTGTTTTTTTTCAAAATGAAATTTTGAGTAATATATAGAATATTTTAAATTCTTTAAAATTGAAAATTTTGACAAAGACTAAAAAATCTGATTTCTTATTATTTGGTAGTTTCCACATTAGAAACCAATAGCAATGTAAAATTTCTACACTAAAAAAAAATTAAACTATTATACAAATTTTTTTTTTGCGATTTTTCGGATAACTGTATCTTTGTTAAAAATGGTCGTATTGGAGCCGTAAAAAAAGCAATTTGAAGCTTGAAGTTTATAGTTTTGAGATTTTTAGACGTGCAACGGTCAATACTAATGAATAACGTAATAAAAAAATCGTTTTTTTTTTGTTTTCTTTTTTGGTCCAAATGTTCTACAAGAATTGGCTATTGTTTTTTGAAAAAAAAATCCCATACTCTACAAGAATTTGAAAAATCATGAAAAAAGTGCTTTTGGTTGCTTTTGAAAAATCAAGCGCTGAATCAAATATAGGTATTATACTACATATACTTTTTTTAGGACCAAATCAAAACAAGCGCGGCCCTTATTGGTCAAATCGGTGGTTGTAGCGCGTGCATAGCGCGAGACTGTATTTACATTTACTAATTGTCATTTAGAGGCTAATTTTAGTCCATGGAAACATAAAAAATTGGGCAAATGGGACTTATTTTGAAAAAAAACCTAAAATGTGAAAAAAAAAACCATTTGAAAAAAAACAATGAAAAAAAACCTGAAAAAAAAACAAAAAAAACGAACCGTTTTTTTTCAAGTCGCATCTCTAGATGTTATTAACATCATGTTAACCGTTTAGTTAATACCTAACAGTAATTAAATCGAATAGTACAAGTCCAAAAGTAAAATTTTTGATAAAATATTTCAAAAAATCAGTTTTATAGTTCTAAATGCATTTTTGTTAGAATATTTTAACTATTTTATGAAATATACCTAATATTCATTTTTTGTAAAATAATTTATATCTTCTAACAAAAATGTATTTTAAACTTTAAAATTGATTTTAGAAAATAAATTGTCAAAATTAAATTTTTGGACTTGTACTGTTTTTATTCTCACCGATTCAATTGTAATGTGGATCTTAATACTTAAAAATCTCATAACAAAATATGAAGTTTGCAAAATACAGCAAAACATTCTTTAGATTGTTTACTATTTTAGTTGTCATTTAAAAGAAAATTAAAAATCCTTTTGTTTGGTATATTTTTGACTAAAAAACGAAATATCGCTAAAAATGACAATTTTGTAGAAGTTTTTTAAGAAAAATTTTAGTTGTAATATTATATCATTTTAAAAAGAATTTAATAAAATAGAACCTAAATATATAAATTTTTAAATTACCTACTTTTTAAAAAAGAATTTTTTAGCACTACCTTAGTTAAACTCAGTCAGGTTGGCCTATTTAAATTTAATTTTTAGGATTTTTAGGAGATTGAAGGCAATTTTAGGAGAATTTTAGGAGTTTTGAAGATTTAAGCAAAATTTTAGGAATTTTATGAATTTTAGGAGGTGTGGGAGCCCTGAGGGTGTTTTATTATAAATGGGACACCCCTATAAAATCTGTATTAGAAAAGATATGAAAAATATATAAAATCCAGCCTGCATGGTCGAAAAAAGTAATTTTTTTAACAAAAATTCAAAAACAAAAAAACATTGGTAAATTTAATCAAATAGCATTGAAATTGTTTTTTTCAATGAAACACCCTGTATATTTTTTAATTTGGTTTTAAAAATATATACAGAGTGACCCATTTGTTTGCGACTCACCCCTGTAAAATCTTTATTTATTGTGCGATTTTAACCGGATTTGTTTCAAAGTGTAGGTAGATCTTGATAAACTGTATTTTTGGAGCAAAAAACGCCATATTTTTACAAAACACAAGGCCTACTATGTCAGTTTTTAAGAGTAAATTTTTAAGAATTCATATTAAGGATTTTTTTAAACAAAATCTAAGCACGGCACTGGATTCATCACCCCTCAAAACGACCCTATACTAAATTTTATTGAAAAATGTTAAGTATAAAAATGCACAATAATAACTACAAAAATTTATTCTGTCAAGTTATCCATGAAAAAAACATTGAAATAAAATTAAACTTTAGTAATAGTACCATGTTACTATTAGTTTAATTTTATTTTCATGGATAACTTGACGGAATAAATTTTTGTAGATATTTTTGTGCATTTTTCTACTTAATATTTTTCAATAAAATTTAGTCGTAGGGTCGTTTTGAGGGGTAGTGAATACAGTGCCGTGCTTAGATTTTGTTTAAAAGTGTTTTGTTAATAACTGTCCCGAAAATTAATTAATTAATAATAAAAACATGGTTATTTTATGACGAGTTCTTTATCGATGGCAACTATGATTTTTACGTTAAAATAAGCCAGGTTTTATTATATATTTTTAAAGTTAAAATAAAACACTCTTTCTAAATATTTAAAAATATACATGGTGTTCCATTGAAAAAATAATTTTAATCTATTTTAACAATTTTACCGATGTTTTTTGTTTTTTAATTTTTGTAAAAAAATAGTAGATTATGTTATAAGGAGTAGAAGTGACTCTTTTTGTGGTGAGTACATAGATTGACGGCCGAAGCGTAGCTGAGGCAGGCAACTGTACGAAGCACAAAAAGAGCTTCTACTCCAAATAACATATACAATTTTTTTTTCAAGGGCATAATATAAATAGGATAAGCAATAGAATTATTTTTTTACTCATAACTCGTGTGGGATAAAATTTTGGCTAAAAGCATTAGAAATTATTGATAAAAACTAAAAAAACTAATAAACCTTACTTACAATGCCGATAAATATCCGAAATTAAAACTAAACACTGCTCTGTCAAAATGCTGCGCTTGAATTAATTTTGACGTACTGACATTTGTTTGAAGTTTCGACATTGGCGACTCGTCTATCATCATAATATTATACTAATAAACTAGTTTTTCTTTATTTCGTTCAATTAAAATTTAATAAATAATCACTAAATATTCCGTGCGATTATAATTAATATAATTAATACATCGTGATTGCTTTGTATGAAATGCTAAATTAATTTTATTATTTGACGTTTATTGAGTCACCTATGGATTTACTTCTATCCCTAGGCTTTTTTTGAGTTTTTTGTCTGCCGCTAATGAAAAAGACGCACTTCAACTATCTCTATACATGCATATAAGGTTGTATATCATGGCCGCTTGAAAAAAAAAATACTTTTTACACCATGCAAGCGGGATATTTTAATTTTTTAATATCCCTTTAGAAATTAAGGTATTATCTTTGGGGTGTCCCATTTATACGAAAACACCCTGTACAATGGTGGAAACGGAATCACCCCGTTGACATCAAAATCTAAACTTCCTTTATGGACAACTAACTAGTTATCACTAGTCTTGTCATTTTGACAAAATGCTCAATATTGTATATTTGCTATTTACAGATTTATACATGGACAACCAAATTATGACGTACCTTTTTAGAAATAATATGAAGGGGTATGAAGCAAAAGGGTACAAGTGCAAACAAAATAAGTGGAGTTATTAGCAAAAGTTTTTGCTCTATACAAAAATCGATACTTCTTTCAATGTTTGCATTAATCAACATGCAGAATTTTCATGTAATGTAAAAAAAAATTTGGACTATAAACTACCCAATTCTGCACTTAACTTATTTTCATTCTAAAACGCACTTGTACCCTTTTGCTTCTTACCCCTTCATATATTTTCATGTCTTTGAAAACCTGAGTTTAATACCCGTGTTTCTTAAAATAGTATTATTATAAAATTACTTTTTTAATTATAATTTATCAAAGTATTGCATAATATGCATATTAAAAATATAGAAATATGAATTGATAAGTTATAATCAAATTTGACGCCAGCAAAAATAATGAAATAAAATAATATTTCAATAAACAAAACATAGATAAAATGCGTTCCACAAATTGGATATATTTATGGCTTTATTTTTTTAGTTTTTATACCTGAATTAAAAGTGGTGTGTGCAAAATTACAAAAATAAACATAATGCGCATTATTCAAATGCAAATTAATGTCCTATATTTTCCAAGAAAAACACTAAGCTGCTACACATACTTTAATTCAATTGTTTTGATATTGCTGAATTACTTAAATTTTACTGAATTTCAAAATTACAGGATTTAACTTGATAAATATTTTAATAAAAAGTATGAAGTATAAATTTTAAGTATAGGTAATTTTCTCTGTATATTATTTGGTACACCATAAAACAAGGGCTACTACTTTTTAATATATTGCCAGTATATTATGATATATAATATAATATATCAATATTAATACATATCATTTTAAAAACGTGATTTTGAAAAATATAAAATTTCTTTATTCATAAAATAATTTCAATTTAAATTTGTCCAGGATTAGTTTAAAAAAAAATGTTTTTAAATGGATTTTAATGAACTCTTATAAGAATATCTCACTGAATAATATGTATAATATTAATTTATAATAAAATACACATATTTTCTAAAGTTATGCATCACCCCCTGTATTCATGTAGGATAATTTCTTTCTGTTTATGACTTATTTTTGTATATAACTGTGTGTTTAACTATATACCTATAATTATTTCAAGAATGTGGTTTCTTAAAAATTCACACAAAGGAAATGAGTTATGAGTCCCAAACACCATAGGATTAAAAAATTTAAACATTATAATTAAAACATAACAAATAACTAAACAAACAAAGATTACAATGCAATTTGATATCAGCTGTTTATAACTCACCATTTAGCGACCATATGTGTGAGGGAAGGGAATGGGCTGCATAAACTCTACCAAGAGCAATGTTAGCAGCAGCAGAATTTAGTACCGAGCCAGCTTCTTCAGCTGAACTGCTATCGGTTTCAGGGCTGGCCCCTGTCGACACATCATATGTGGCCCCAGTGTTTATTGCTTCATGGCTGGCATGCAAATCTGGAACGCTGGAAAGCGACCTGGCTCTTTGTCTGTCGTTGGACATATCCATGCCCAAAGAACGCATAAAACGAAAACTTGGTCCCACAACCTCAGAAGAGCTGCTCGTCGAAAAGGCCCTCGTTCTGGGGCTCTGGGTGCCGTTAGCGGTGGAAGGTTTAGCCCCCATTATGCCTGTATGTTATAACACTTTACTTTCTTAGTTAAATTGTCTTACATATTGCTTGATGGGTTACTTTGTGGTCATAAAACTACGGTACCAATGTCCAATTTGACAGCGCACATTTCCCGATCGTTTGTGTTTTGACTGGTTTAAAAAGAAATCACGCACTATAATAACGAGTAATTTTAAACATTGCGCATTATTTGCCAGCGCAAACTAACACCGATAATAGTATTTAATTTCGATTTACAAAAGCCATGTTATTCGCCTAAATGTCAAATAATTGCGCCAGATGGCAGATTGCTGAATGATAAAAACGAAATCTTCACACATGATATTGCAGAATGTGAATTTTAAAAATTCAATGTATAAGCATCCGCAACCAACATTACAGCGATGTAAGTTGTTTGTATATATTTAAATTTCCTTTTAGCCCCCCCTAGAAACTTCATGCAGTTCTAAAATAAATCGCAGAACAAAAAAATATTTTTACATTTTGGGTAAAAAATCAAGAACAAAATATTCAAATTCATTTAAATAAACGAATTGAACCCGATTTCTTTTAGTTAATAAAGAAAAAAAATGTTTTAATTTAATGATGAATCATCTTTTTGTACGTTAATTAACCGTTTAATTAATGTCCATAAATTTCGTGACGTTAAAAATGGGCTAAATGAGTCTCCCGTGCGTATTCTGCGACTAAATAATATTTGGGCAGGAGTAATATTAATATTATACTCCTGCCCAAATATTATTAAGACCACAATCCATTGTGATTAAGACCTGAAACATGCATGCACAATCCATGGATTGTGCATGCATGTTTCTATAGCACTTCTAGACCATATTCTAGAAGTGCTGCTTCTAAATAAGTAGGTACCTGTAGACATACATTTCTTAATTAATTTTTAATTAAAAATGGATTTAGCGGTCTGAACTGCTCTTTCAGCTTGACCATTACTTGGAGGATAAAGTGGTGAACTCGTTATAATTTGAAAACTCCAGGAGTTTGAAAATTGTTTACATTGAAATTAACTAAATGGCATGTTGTCACAAACTGTTTTTGGAATTCCATGCGTAGCAAATACACTTTTAAATTTACTTAAGTACCTAATATAATATATATAATTATAACTTTACTAGCAGTTTTGTTTTTTACCGGAGGTATTTCTAACCATTTTGAATAATAATCTTGCATAACAAGATAACTTTTACCTTGAAAATCCATAAAATCACAAGCTATTTTGTTAAAAGGAATATTAGGAATTTCATGAGAAATAACCCTGATAGCACACTTTATTCTAAGAATGTTTTTTAAACCTTACAGTGAGAATATTCCTAGGATCATGCTATATTTCTTCTAAAGAACATGCTTAAAAGACATATAGCATGATCCTAAGAATATTCTTACTGCCAGTAAGTTACTGGCCTACAGGCAGGTTCTTAGAAGGTGCAAAGTTTTAGTGGTAAAAATTAGTCTAAACATATGCTTAGAATGTTAAGAAAGTAATTGCTATAGAAAGTTCATTTAGGAATATTCCTGTTAAGCATATTTAGTTCAGTTACCTATATAGTAATAGTAAAATATATATACCATAAACTACGTAGGTATAAAGTACTTAAGTAGCTAATTAGTAATTAGTATTAAATACTAAGTAAAAAACAGAATCCAAAATATTTTTATAGTTATTTGTCAAATTATAACAATATTCGATAACAAAAATACTTTTACTATAGAGTCAATCCAAATGAAAACACCAAAAATGAATTTAAAAGTGCGCTGCATGATTTTTTATTTTAATGAAAAAACTTGAGGATGATCTTTTAGGTATCATATATGAAAAACCGTTGCCGTTTTAATTTTTAGTTGCTTTATTTTTAATCGGCACCCTTTAGAAACCTGAAATCGTGTCATTTTCTTACTCTCTTATAAGAGGCTAAAACTTTTTTTTTGTGGCAATTATTGAAATGATTGTAATTTTATTTTACTGCCTAGTAAGTATGTTTTCAATATTAATTATTATTATCTAATTAGTTCATCTCATAAAAGAATGGTAAACCACTAAAGATTTGTAATAATTTGCCAATTTTTGTGATTTTTGTCTGGCTCCTGCACATGTGCATATTCTACTAAATCTAGAAAGTTGCTTTTTTTCAGGTATCAAGTACTTATACAATAGAAAACGTACCTAACTATTATTTTAAGTTTCTAGACTATCATTTTCTTTTTTAAAAAAAAATATTGAAACTTGATAATTTTCAAAATTAGCCAATTTTGCCCTCAGAAATCATTATGTTGAGGAAAAAATAAAAATCTTAAACTTTCAGGAAATGTAGTCCCCACCTTCATCTTTTCAGACTAGTTAGTCTTGTTTTGTTATTTTTATCAATATAAAAGATATAATAATTTTTTTAATGCAGTTGAGAAGCGATATTGTTAGTTTTATTTATAATTTAAAATTTAGATGGCTTTGACTTCATGTTTGGTAGAGAAATGTCAGAACTGTCAAAAATATTTCATAAATATTATATGTGCGTATTTAAATTAATTTATTACACTTGCAAACTTGCAAACTTTTTAAAATCACAATGTGTTCGAGATTCATGAATTTAATTGCAATTAAAAATGAAAGAACATATCATAATTTTGTACCTCTTTCTCATAGAAAATATTCAAGTTCTGAGAAGTTTTAAATTGTTAAAAAAAGCAAAAACCAAAAAATATTCTAAATAAATCCCTTTATTATAACATGTTTTATTTTAAACAGTTACCTAAAAACTAAAATTTAAAGAAGTATTAACAGATTTTGTAAATTTTTTTCCAACACTAACATTTAAAATACATACCTACTTTTAACTATTCAGTGCCTTACTAAAGGGATCAAAATAATAGAACAATCTTGTCTTGACTAACTTGGTTTAAATTGTGAAAGAAACCGACAAAAAACTGCTTAACGCATTTTTTATACGTTTAAATTAACTCTTTATTAATTTCACTTATTATACAAAATTTACCAAAGAAATACGCACAATAAATGTTTAAGGAATATTTTTGACAGTTCCGACACTTCTCCACCAAACATGAAAGCCATCCAAATCACAGATCATACAATCCAAATTTTAAATTATAAATAAAACAATATTATATCGCTACTAAACGGGCATTAAAAAAATTAATATATCGTTTAAAGGAATAAAAATAAAAATAACAAAACAAGACTAACTGGACTTAAAAGATGAAGGTGGGGACTACATTTCCTGAAAGTTTCAGATTTTTATTTTTTCCTCAACATAATGATTTCTGAGGGCAAAATTGACTAATTTTAAAAATTATCAAGTTTCAATAATTTGATAAATGATAGTCTAGAAACTTAAAATAATAGTTACGTTTTCTATTGTATAAGTAGGGTACTTGATACCTGCAAAAAAAAATAACTTTTTATATTTAGTAGAATAAGCACAGGAGCCAGACAAAAATCACAAAAATTAGCAAATTATCATGAATCTTTAGTGGTTAACCATTCTTTTATGAGATTAACTAATTGGATAATAATAATTTATATCGAAAACACACTTACTGAACAGTAAAACAAAATTAAAATCATTTCAATATTTGTCAAAGAAAAAAGTTCTGGCCCACTTATAAGAGAGTAAGAAATTGACACGATTTCAGATTTCTAAAGGATGCCGATTAAAAGTAAAGAATCCAAAAACGGCAACGGATTTTCATATTTGATACCTAAAAGATCATCCTTAATTTTTTTTATTAAAATAAAAAATCAAGCAGCGCACCCCATTTGGTGTTTTTATTTGGAATGACTCTATATATATGAGTACCTTAGATGCAAAACTCGGTTTTTGCAAATTAAAAAATAAAATAAAATTGACTTTAAATTCTGTTTAGTGTTCGTCCTAGATAAATGGCGTTCATAAAACTTGATACATAATAATATTATATTATATATATTATTATGTATCAAGTTTTATAAACGCCATTTATCTAGGACGAACACCAAACAGAATTTAAAGCCAATTTTTTTTTTTTTTTTAATTTGCAAAAACCGAGTTTTGCATCTAATGTACTCATATATCTATCTATCTATAGGTATTTTATTTTATGTTAAAAATAAATATTTATTAATTTGTATACCGATTTTTATTTCTGAATTAATATTTTTATGTATAATAATCCTAACTATCTTCAACTTCAATCTAATCTGACTTATCCCACAAATTTTTCCAATTTTACTTTTTATGAAATAATGTCATACAACTTATGGTTTAGAGGTCAAATTGTTTATTTAATATTTTTAAATAAATATATATTAATATGTCGCAAAAATTTTTAAGGGGACGACAAATACATTTCACTGTCATATTATGACAGTGCGGCGTATTTGTCGTCTTCTGAAGAATTTTACGAATGTAGAATACAACATATTAGAACGTGGGTATCTGACAATGTCTGTCATAAAACCAGGCCAGTATACAATTTGTCTAGCTATGTCTTTTGTTTTGGTAATGCCAAAGTGTGATTCATATAATAAATTTAATATGTATTTCCTTAAAGCTTGTTGTACTATTACTCGGTTGTTGAAAAATACAAAATTGTCTTCAACAAAAACATTATTCTGAAACTTGAAATAAAATTTAACATCTACATTTTCGATACTTTTTGGTCAACCACTAAAGTAATAATTCTTTAATTTATTCAAAATTATGTCATTTTCTGATGCACTTTCAAATTATTTTCTCTTACTGTCAAAACCTGTACTAATTGAGTGAATTGTCTCAGTAATCCAGTTATCTACATTTTCATTGTCATCTTTAATAAAAGATCTTGACAAAAGATCTGCAACGTCAATAAATTTGCCAGGCAAATACTTTAAACTTAGATTATACTTAAATAATTTAGTACGCATTCGCTGTAACCTGGAGGAGGCTATGTCACAAACTTTTTTATCAAGAAGGCTAACCAGTGGTAACCAGTGGTAACAGCTGATAACCATACAGGCTAGCCTGTATGGTTATTTCTTTTTAGTGTTAAAATTTACTAAAACTGGTGCTTCTTATATAATTCTCTTTAAGTTGTTTAAAACTAAAGTGTGATTCGGTAAACGGGCTGAAATTTCGGATAAATTTGGAATGAATTGTCGCATGAAATTTACCATGCCTAAAATACATACCTTACAGACAAAGCTTTATATTGAATCTTAGATTTATTAAATTTAACTCCTAAATTTATAGCTCTATTAATTACTTTAGTTTTTAATTCATCAAGTATAGCAAGATTTTAATC